CTATGTCGCTGGACTCCCACGTAGTCAACCGCAGTTCGTGTCCCGGACCCGGTGGCTTAAAACTCATGCCGGGCGCGTGTGCGTGTGTGCCCAAGATCCTGAGAGGAGAATGGAGGAGAAGGGATTGCGGCGTGACCATAGCCCCTGGGGGGTGATTTCTCGCTTTCTGTCTCTATGTCTCTCTCTGTCTGTGTGGCGAGTGCACGCATCCTATAGCGAAAATCTCTCCAAAAAAAAGAGAAAAGTATGTTTTAACTTAATAAAGTTAGTATTTGTAATCAGACTCACTGAACCACAGAACAAAAAACAGATCTCAAAAATCCTTTTACCCAAAACGATCACGTTAAGACAGGGCTTCCTGCCTGTCAGCAGCTGGCCTGTGCTGAGTCCCTCAGTTAGCCAATGACCGAGCTGCTCCATCTCTGGATTCTAATCACCAGAGTTCTTCCCACCACGCCCAAGAATGAGCCAGAGGACTAACACGAACACAGCAAGGTAAGAGCTGTGGTTCCCACAGTTGTTTTAGTTTTTAATTAACCAAAGCAGCATGTTGGTTAAGGTGGCTGGATACCACAAGGAGAACTTCATGGTTTGAGTCCAAGACCCAGTGGCTTGAAAAACACTCCAGGTGCATGTACATACGAGTGTGCCCGAAATTCTAAAAAGGGAATGGAGGAGAAAGGGTTGCAATGTGGCCATCCCCCTAGAGGGGTAGTTATATCTCACTTTCCCTCTCCCTCTCTCTGTCTCCAGTGAGTGCACACATCTTAGGGCCAAAACTAGTAAAACATTTTAAAAAGGATAACACAGGCCTGGTACAGGGGTGTACACTGCCAAGATACTATGCTCCACAGGCTAGAACCACATGTGAAGCCAAAGTTCGATTCCCAATCCAGCCTTAAGGTTGGGCGAAGTGCTGTGTGCCTGGAATCCCAATGACTCAAGAGGCTAAGGCAGGAGGACTGCAAACTGAAGGCTGGCCTGGGCAACACAGCGAGACTCTGTCGAAAAACAGCCAAGTGTGGTGGTACACCTGTGGTCCCAGCTACTGCGGAGGTCCAGGCAAGAGGGACCACAACACAGCAAAACCTTATCTTAAGGGACCGACAGGTGGCATGCTGATTAAGGTGCTGGATTCCCACATGGTCAACTGCGGTTCAAATCCCAGACTTGGCAGCTTGCTTTCTCACTTTCCCCCTCTCTCTCGCTTTCTCACTCCCTCCAATCTGTCTCTCTCTGGTGAACACACCCCTATAGCAAACTAAAAAATAATCATGATAATAAAATCTAAAGCACCATGCCTTAAAAAAATGAAAAAGACAATGCATATATGTATAAAATGAAAAGGCACAAAAAGTTCCTTAAATGTATAAAGATACTATGTTTATATAAGAAAATATAATTCTTAGGAGATGATTTCAAATGTTTCAGTCAAAATCTATATAGAGAAAATGTGGCAAACGTTAACAGCCAATGTGTAGGGAGAGAGAGAATCTGGATCATCGTACTCTTTCAACTAACACTTTCCAACATCAAGCAGGGAAACGTGTGTAGGAGAGAGAGAAAATCTGGATCATCGTACTCTTTCAACTAACACTTTCCAACATCAAGCAGGAAACGTTCTCTTCTCCCTCACTCCTACTTCTCAGACTCCCTAGAACTCCTCCTCAGAGCCAGTTGATGTTATCTGTTTACTGAAAATTCCTGGAGAAGATAATCTATATAGATGTAAGTATGAATATAGCAGTATACTATTTATACTTTTAAATACACCTTTGTTTCCCCTTAATTTATCTTGGGGACTGTACAATATTTTTCTGAAAGCTATTTAGTATTCTGTGAGAAAAACAGAATCCTTAAAATAAAATAAATAAATAAGTAAATAAAGGTACAAAGCTGGGACCAGCAGATGGTGTAATAGTTAAGTCGTTGGACCCTCCTCCTCCATGATCATGGTTCAAATCTTGGACCTGGCGGTTTGAAACTCACACCGGGTACGTTTGCCCAAGATCCCAAGAGGAGAATGGAAAAGAAGAGACTACGGTGTGGCCGTTCCCCCTAGGGGAATTCCTTGCTTTCTGTCTCTCCAGCAAGTGCATGTACCCTGTGGAAAAAAATCTCTCTCTCTCAAAAAAAAAAAAAATAAAAAGGTACAATGCAACAATGGCTAACCTGTCCCAAAGGTCAACTTCCACAGCTACCTTGACAGTGTCTAACTGGATAACATTACAGTTCTGGGGGACCAGCAGTTGGCGTAATGGCTATGTCGCTGGACTCCCATGTACTCGACTGTGGTTCGAGTCCCAGACCTAGCGGCTTAAACTCATGCCAGGCACGTGTGTGTGCATGTCCAAGATCCCGAGAGGAGAATGGAGAAGAAGGGATTGCAGCATGGCCATCACCCAAGAGGGGTGATTTCTGGCTTTCTGTCTCTCTGTCTCTGTCTTTCTGGTGAGCACATGCGCCCTATAGCAAAAACCTCAAAAAAAAAAAAAAATTAAAGTTCTGCAGAAAGAGAAATATTGGGTCATTGGAAAAGTCATGACATATTTTTCTGGGCAAAAACGCTTCATGACTTTTCCAACAACCCAATAGAACCTCCTCCTGTGAAAGCAGGCCCTGATTCTGGTCCAGTAACTCAAGACTCATGGGATGACAACTCTAAGGCATTTGAACATCTGGAGGCACCCAGGCTTAGTGAGAGAGTATAGTGTTTATCTGATTGGTTACAAAGTCTTCATTTTGAGATAGGAAATTGATTCCCCTAGTTGTTCTTTCTTTATAGGCTACTTAAATCCAGATGACCTTGTCTCTGATATAAAAGCCGCTATTCAAACCTTTGTTATGATTTTCACCTGCACTTTCATAGTTTGTAACTGCTCCTTCACTGGGGCTGGTCCGTTTAATGGCCTTCCT